ATCAACTGACCCTCACTGGCCAGAAATAACCCCACTATTCAGATCAAGGAAAGAAAAGAAAATATAGAAAGGAAAAAAAAAATGCCTTTTATTTCTTCAAAAAAAGTTCTTCAGAAATATGAAACATAGTATTTCTTTAGATTTTAAAAAGACATAAATAATGTTGTAAGTATTTAAGGTGTTTATAGATTTTCCAGTCTCAAGTCACCTTACTATTCCTAGTTGTAGGATTTACTAACTCAAAAAACACACATGCAGTTCTTTTGTATCCAAAAACCATTGTTTGTTAATTCAACACCAGGGTTTCTAACTAAATTATTACAGTCTTGGTGTATTAGCTCTGACTTGTAATTGAACAACCACTGGTTGTTATTTTGAACTGTGTGTCATGGAGTCAACACTCATTTACAAAGTATTATTTGAAAATATTCCAACTGTCAAAATCTAAAAGGTAGTACCAGTACATTTTTCTTAACAGCACAGCTTGGGCAAATATACTCCGAAATGGTACCATGTGAAATTAAAATCCGAAAATAATGAGGGTAGGCTAGATGATTTACTAGTATATATGCAGAATACAGAAAATCAGAGTTAAATATACAAACTTATTGTAAAGTAATCTACAATGATTTATATTCTATCCTATGTCATTTACAGAATGCCAAGACAATGTCTGAAATTAAGCATTATTTTGAGTTTCCTAGAGAATATCAATAACTGGTCTGAGTTTTCTCTAACTAAATTGACTATTAAACCAATGAGTTTTAACATGGATTTGTGGCTATAAACACAGCCTCATGAGACAAAAATGAAGTTATTTCTATATTTGGAATTATGACTGTATACTTTAAAAAGCATTACACTGATTCAAAAACCATATAGGTTCCCTATGAACTTTTGTAGAAAGTTGTACTTTAATCAATAAAGGTATTTAGAAACATAGGGTAAATGAAAGGAAATTTCAAAATGTTCACCTTCAATTTATTTCATAGGTCACTGTTATACCACCTAATAAGATAATTAAAAACATGCAAGCAGCTGGTACTACAGCTAAACAGATTAATGTAATAGTCTGTAGTCATGTATGCTGGCAAGGGGCTTGCCTCTTTGCAGAGGAGAAGGTCAGCTGCCCTTGGAAAGAGGGGGTGGGGGAGGCAGTGATAGGATATTCCTTCTACCATGTGACCTTGTGCTAGTCACTGAAGTTCAACATCTATTGGAAACTGCTAACTGGCAAACTTCTTTCACACCCAGTAAGGGATCTCAGTTTTAATGGTTGTATAAGAAATAGAGAAAGCTCGTATCATCTGACAGAAAACATTAAAATTGGTCTCTAAAACAATTACAAGATACAATGCATAGACTAATAATATTTTCTCAATTCTTACTCATTTTTCATTTTCATAATTCATCTGAAAATTGGTCAGGAGATATACAAACAAATTCTAAAGAAAACTGCCAAAACAAGACATAGTCTATTACCCAGGCATCATACAGCAATCAATGTATGCCTTATGAGTTAAATGTAGCTGAACTCTATTTTGAATCAATGAAGCAAAAAGCACAAAAGATGCATCCAAAGTTAAGCCTCCCAGCCTATGAAAACCAAATCTATGAACAGTAGGCATGCAAAGCTATAGTTAGGGTACATCAATTTGAATTTCACAATTTTTGGTCAAAATTCCAAAAATCCTCCTCTGAACTTAGGCTAATAGTAAAACATCTTCTTTTTATCTTTACCATGTGTACAATTTCATTAATATAAAGGCAACCTATAGTACTGTATCAGAGACTGAGCTTTTCTGATCAGAGTACTGTATCAGAGACTAAGAACAAGCCTCACATTAAGCTTGTTCTTAGCTCTCTTTCTGCTAACAAAGTTATTTTCCTATAAGACACATTTTTAGAAATCTCCCTTTTGGTGTCTCTAAATTAGAGCACTATAAAAAAAATTCTATATTACCAAAAAGATAACGATGATGACAATGATATGACATTGATTGGAAGATAAAATCAGCTAATATTTATTCAGCATTTACCACGTGACACTAACGACATTATCCCATTAACTCCTCTTTATCTTTATTATCGCCACTTACCAGGTGACACTAATGACATTATCCCATTAACTCCTCTTTATCTTTATTATCGCCACTTTAAAGATGAGGAAAGTGAGGCTAAAATTTGTCCAAAGTCTCCAAAGTATTTGAACCAACTCACTATGTTGGGTATTAGAAACAAACAAAACAATGAAAAAACAGAGACTATGCCCTCCTGAAACTGAAAATCTATAAACCACAATAATGAAACAAAATAGAAAAATACAGATTTAGGTGACAAATTCAAAAGTTAATAAAACCTCAGCATATGCTACAACAAGGGTATACCTGGTACAGGATTAAATGAGGACTAAGGCTACAAAGCTGACAATTTTTCAGGTAAGCACAAAATAATAGTAATAATGCATGGATTTGCATTTAAATTTTCAAAAGGCTTTATCTTACACATTTTATCTCAGTCTTTAAAACAGCTGTGAGAAGGAAGTATCCAGTTTACAGATGACAAAGTAAGGCTACTGATTACCCTGGACACAAGGAGATGCAGCTTGAGCATGCTCACACCAGGCTGACAGCCAGAATTGTCTAGCTGTGAAGGAAGGTCAGGATTTCTGAGGCAGTTTAAATAATACAAAGGTAAAATGGTTAGGATGTTTGAGGGTTTGGAACGTTCACATTTTTCCAATGACCTATTTCCAGTTAGTTTAAAAGAGCTATGATGGCAGGAGAAAAATAATTTTCATTTTCAAAAGTGAATTTTACTGACAATTCTGTTGCCATTTTAGTGTGATTCTGCAACAATTCCTAGGTTTTATCAGTTAACCTTAATATGAAAATATACCCCAGAGCTGTGCTTCTATGAATTCTGCATTTAACCCAAGTGTCAAATTCACAAGTAAGCTCATTATATTGTAAGAGCTATTGCCTACTGAGTAGAAAAACATTCATTTCACACCTTAAATACTATAATACTATTTAATAACAGCACTGGCCTGCCAACTATTAAAAGCTTGTTTTTATATACTGTATTACGTGAGCTTTTTATCTTGCCTTTTTAATTACAACAATAAATTAATATCCTAACATTACAACACTGACAGGCATTGATTAAAAATATATTAGTTAACAACATTAGTATTTATTGTGCAAAGTTGCATTAGGAGTTCATTTTCAAAATACAATTATCATTCAATAAAACTAAGATCCTTTATCTTCAAACTATTCAAGAAAATAAACTACAAGATAATACTGTGCATTCACATTAACACATTTCTCTTAACTTTTTATTATGTCCATTATTTACTATAATTAGCTATATTATAATGTAATTGTAAAATATAATTCACCAACTGAATTTATAAACATATAGATTTTCCTTCCTTTGAAATACATCTTTATTTTCCTTTTGTCTTGGTTATTTTTATTGTATTTATATCTAATAATGATATTACCACCATAGATTTCATATAAATTATTATATTAACATTCCTCAGTTACATGACAAATCATGAATATTTATTTAACTTTTATATTCACCTTTTTTTTTGACTGATGAGCTATAACATGTTCAGATACAGAACTCTACCTATTATTTAACATGTCCAATTCCAAGTTTATATCACACCTGAGCACTAAAATGAATGATTTGGAGAATTCCAACATTTATATGGTAGAATGGGTATAGTGAAAATATGACAACATATGATCTTTACTGCAGTGATAATACTTTCTAGAACACCATGGGAACATAAGCCTTTTGTAGTATCCATGACATTTGAACGACTGATTATTCATACAGACCCCAACCGGTATAAAATAAAGATGTCAAATATTTCAATTATCATCTCATTTCTGGAGTTCATAAACAAATTGTGAAAACTTTCACATTTACTATATTCTTATTAAGTGCTTCCTGTACCCAAAGCCCTACTCTAGATGTTAAAAGCTTGCCTGGGATCTGAGAAAACAAATAATACAGTTCCAATTAGGGATACAGAGTATGTATTCATATAAATATATACAAATTCTAAGTGTAAAATCCATATTTATTATATAAAAGGAGTGACAGCTTAATAGTCAAATGAGTTGCCAAGTGTACAATGGTTCTTGCATATATTTTACAGTGTCATTACACAAGTACCAGACCTATTTAACCGTAAGGACAGTGCACTCCAATTAAAATATTTCTTCAACAATCTGCTTTGCTATCTATAATGCCAAAATGTACTATTATTGAATCTACTTTTTTTCCCTAACAGTAAATCTAGTTCTTACATCATTTTGGTTCAGTATATAAATTTTCAAATATTACTGGAAATACTTTACTCTTTCTTCTTTTTAGGTTTCTCTCTTATGAAGGTAAAAATTCCATAAATACTCAAGCAAATTCAAGTTAAAAGGAGAATATTAACTGAACACTAGATAAGATACACATTTTCTTAACTAGTGCATTCTTTTTTAAAATCACTAATTGAGACTGTAACTGCCCTGTGTGCTGAAGAGCCAAACGGGATATTAACAAACAGCACTTAATATAACCAGGGATTACATTTTATACTCTCTTAGTTGCTCATAAACAGTATTCTTTGTTTCACAAAAAACGTAAACAAAAGGAAGCCTTTCATACTGTAATAGATAAACTGAAAAAAAAAGAAAAATGGATTCTAATGAAGCTTAACACTACTTGTGTATTCATTCCAATTATATTAATACACGTTAAGGGATATCTATAATAATCCCATTTATTCAAGAATTTAGAATATTGTAATTTCCATTACTTAATAAATGTGCAGAATTGCTTATCATAATACTTTTTACATTTGTCATATTTTTAAAGTATAGGTAGAAGTTCCTTACTACTGTAAGGTAAGGTTAGGGTCCTGTAAGATTAGGTATTTTGTACATTATCTTGTAATATTATGTATCTATGTATTCATCACCTACCTATACGAATTAAAAGTCCCATCAGAATCTAAAGTAGAACTTGTTCTTCTTCCGTTTTTATTTGAGTCTCCTGGAAAAAAAAATTTTAAACACTGAAATAATGGAGAATATAAAACTGAATATTTCAGTTGAAAAGCTACTGTATGACAACTCTATGCAGCATATTGGGTCAAAAAACATGTATCTGCTCATCCCTCCCCCAAATGTCTTTTGTAATCAGAGCTCATTAGGCCAAAAATTTATTTTGATGCTAAACTATAAACCAACACTGCTGCTTCTAACTTGAATAGAAATATTACCAAAGTAATTGCAACCAGGAACAAATAAGGTAACGGTACAGAATTTTTCTTTTTATGAATCACAGACAAGCCAAAATTTATAAACCATTTAACCATACACTAATGTTTATAAACAAAGGACACGTTTTTGTTAGTGACCAAGTCCCCCACCCTGACCACTGGTACAGCCCAAAGAGCGCAGGCACAGAGCAGAGGGGGGATGTTTTCCAGCCCCCAGTTCAGCCTGTCTAAAAAGTAGTTAAGCAAAGAAATAAGGCAGAAAGCAGAACTGGGAGGTGGTGAACAATTACATATTCCAGTGAGCTTTAAGTACATCTTAATATTCTTCCCAAAATGTTAGGTTTTAACTCTTGGCAAAAGCTCAGCAGTTTAAAAAATGAAAAAAAAAAATAATAATAACAACAACATCAAAAAGTATTTCTGCTTCGTGTGATAATATCTAACATTTAAGGGGGAAAATCATTTTCACTCAAGCAACAGGCATATTCATAAAATCAAATTTAGAAAAAATTCATACCTATCAGTTTAAAATTGTAGAAAAAAATAAATTTGCTAAAGGAGTTAAAAAATGCTTAACAATGCCATAGTATAAAATACATATTCTTACTGACAGAAATTTAATTGTAATAGTTTAAAATTTAAAATATATACTGCAATGTATAGTCTTTATGAAACCACAGTAACTCCTATAAAACATATCATTTTTTTTTAGAAACATGTTAAATGACTAGAATTTGGTTACATTTTATACTCCTAATTCCTGTAATGTAACTTTTGAACCTCAGGTTATATTCATTTTTATGATATTTAAAGCTTAATAATTTAATGATATATCCAATTTTAATTTATACTTTTAATCCACTTTCAACAACCTAAGGTGCCAGTGGAGATCATCACAGTGGTCCTGGTTAAGTCAAATAGTAATTAGAGCTTTCACTTTAAAGATGAGATTATTTTTAATTATTGAGTATAGTACTTAAGGTACCATACTTATATAATTATGCTACTCATTAAATGGTTATTGAAAGCTGAAATGTAATTTTAATGACAGCTACCTATTTTTCTTTGCACATTTTACAGTTGACAGATTAGTCAAGAATGTTGGTTCTCTTCAAAATCTTTGCAGCTGCAACCAAGTTTTAGGAGGATAAGAACTGAATTGAGCTCACTTACTGAACTCTTAGTTCTATTAGTTTTCAAAATGCGCTTCCAGTTTTTTTATTAAACAAAAATCTTAAAATGTAGTATAGAACTTGAAAATGTTAACAACTGCCATAGAAGAAAATAACCCAAAAGACAGTTAAATGTTTAATTAAGATCAATCTAGCTGGGTATACTTTGTTAATTCTTTGAAGACACTGGAACCATAAAATTACTCACTCAACATACTTCACTTCCTTCAAAAAATTAATGGCATTACAATAAAGTTTAAAAAAAAATAAGGAAAATTAGTCTCTGTCTTGCTAAGTGAAAATTTTCTACAACACATGTTATTTAACAGCTTGCAGACATTTCCTGTGAAACACTCCAAAATCAGCATAGAATAAGTACTATATCATATATTGAAAAGTATGATCCTTCTTTCTCTTTAAAACTAAAGATTATGCTTACTTAAATGCATAAAATCTCACCAATAGAACATTTCTTGCCTTCTGCTGATATTTATCAGATCAAATACAAAATCCTTCAAATAGTTAAGACTTTAGGGCTTTTCTTAAACTACTAGGTTTTGTCATTATTATACATTACAAAAGTGTTCTTTATTTTATACCTGATTTGGAATGAATATATCATATTAAATGTAACCTGCAAACATGGTAATAAGGGGAAAAAAGCAGTTTTTCTTTCTAAAAAACATACTAAATAAGGCTACAATTGTTTCTCTAAACAATATTAGAGAAAAGATTTCAGAATTTGCTATAGGAGGAAAAGGCAATACAGTTTTGAAATGGAAAAAACTGCTTTGTTCCTTCAATCCTCTAGTTGAAATTAATTATAGCAAATGTTTATGAAAACATCTGTTCCTTACAGTTATAAATCCTTAATTTTAGTATAGATGATTCCAGACTCTTATTTTGGAAGGAAATGTCTGACAATTGAAAGGTTTACAAAAAAACAGACTGAATTTATAATTCTAGAAAATTGTATATAGAGTGTGCTATATCCTGTAGAGACTTTCATTTGTTTGAAACATTTGGAGGGGTTTAAAACTGGTAAGAAAAATCAAAGGCAAACAGAAAGACTCATCTTTCACTTTTAAACTGCTTTACAGTAAAAACATATCTGTAACACAAGAAACAATGAATAAGAATTTAAAACAAACATTACTATCAACCTAATTTTTAGATAAGTATAATATACTAAGTATTAATTTTAGCAGGGATTTTAATAAGCTAACACCAGTGATCACAGGAAGGTATGTGTAGTGTTCCCTAAAAATAACAACAGAGGGTGCAAGAGAGTTTAATATAATGTTTTAAGTTGTTCTGGATTCATGAACTAAGTTATCAGGTAGTCTTACTGTAACCAGGATGCAAAGGTTGTTTTTAGAACACACACTCTCTCTTTCTCACAAACACATAAATACATTATTAAAGTAAACTTACACAAAGACTTTGAAATGCTCAAACACCACAAATACTGAAATTTAAGATAACAGACTTCCTTTTACTTGCTTAAAAAGTAGTTTAACAATAGATTACAGTTTTTAAAAAGAATTGTGATTTTTAAAGTATTTCAATATTTAACATACACTGATCAATAAAATAATCTGGATTTATTAACTGAGTAAATTTTAAATAAATGCATAAATTATATATAATATATAACATACATACTGTGTTACTATATATGGGATATAACATTGTTCAACATTATATATTTATAGAGACAGTTCATCAATTACTTGGGACCATTACAGTTTGAAATTTATATAACACCTTTATTTCTCTTTAGTTGGTTAAGTTTGTAAAATGAGGTCATAACATTCACAATTAATATAAGTTGGCTGATTTGAAAAAAAATGCTTCTAGTTATATTGCTTCATATGATATCACAAAAGGCATAGTATTCCCTACTAGTAATTTCTAATATACATTTATCGAACTTATTCAGCCAATAATATGTATAATGGCGGCTTAAATTTGAAAACTTGAAAGTTAAATTCCAGACTCCTTTTCAGCTTTAACTGCAGTCATGTTTAGTGAAGGGCATTTACAGTAACTATCTGTGCACTGTTGAGATCACACTAAACAAAGGTTTACAAGAGATTCTACAGTACTTTTTATGCACAAGCATCTGCTTTATGAAGAGGGAATCAGAGTTGTTAAGCTAGGTTAGGTTAAAAAGAACCAGAATAATGCTGTGAATAAACACATGTACTCAATTGTGTCTTCAGAGTGTATCAAAAAACACCAAGTTTCGGGTATTGCATCACACTAGGTATGAATTCTGATAGCTATTACATAATTTTTAAAAGGGTTTATCTCTGAATTATAAGAGAAATGTCACCAAGTATGTGTGATGAATATTTAATAGTAAGAGGGGAGAAAAGATCTGGTTCACACTGACAATAAAGCTATGGGTAACCACATTTTAGTTGTCATAGGATAAGATGACCTACATTTGAGTGTAAAGACCTAGAAAACCTTTTATGTCTTTTAAATGAATTAGCATTACTACTGAACTGTGTTAGTTATATTTAAAATCCCATTTTAAGTAATGATTTTTTAAAAACTTGATTCAGATGTTGACACATGAAGGCAAAGCATAAGACTTGACAACATCTATGAAGACAGTAGCCACACTAAAGATATCACCTCCTATCAGGAATCAGGTAAACAATAGTCTAGGCTAATTATTTATGCTAAAATCCAGGACCACTAATTAAGTCTAAGAATCAGCACTCAAGTAAATATAGAAAACTCATGTATTTAGTAATTTTCCATTTTCTCTATCACTGTCAATTTATCTACATTCTAATGATTTAATGGTCTTATTTAGTTCTCTATGTAATATTTAGAAATTATTTTTTAGGTAATAAAAACTCAGATGTAAAAGAGAAACACACAGGAAATATATTAAATAAATAAATTTAAGTGGACAATTTTAATTTAAGAAGAGAATATTTATGTTATTTCTATTAAATCATTAATGAAATTCTTTTAAAAAGAAAGCAGTTACATCAACAAAATGGTGGAATATACAACCCATCCTCCCTGAGAAACACTGAAAGCAAGCATTAAAAACAACTTTGGAACAACTCTGGAAAACAAATTTTTACAAAAACCAATGAACAATGGATCAAGGAAGGCAGCTTGAAAGCCCTGTGACATTTTTACTAGCCCTTGCCCTATCCCCTCCCTGACAGTTTTGAAGAGGAAAACCAGTTCCCAGTATGGGAACCTAGTACCTGGAGGGTCCAGAGGCAGTAGAACAGATTATGTTTGCAAATAACTGTGCAAATCTGTTCTAACTGAAAGGACTGACACACGATGCTCACCTCTTTTTCATCTAACTGAAAAACAAAAAAAAAAGTGCTAGGCACTGCTTTTCAACATACTGCAAAGCCAAACAAACTAAAAACCAGCAGATGTTTAAGATGGGGGAAAGATTACAACTGAAACGTAGAACAGACCACCTAAGGCCTGGGAGCAAAAGCTGGGGAGAGTTTCTTTGAAAAATTAGCAAATAGCAAAATCAAAAGCTCCCAGGTATACAGGGGAAAGTAGAGGACCATGCCCATGCCTAGGACAAGCTGCATAATCAGAAT